GGGAAAAAAATAACAGCCAGAGAACGCTGCAAGACTTGGAAACAGATAAACAACTGAGTGTTTTTCATTTTCCCTGTTTTAACTAAATCTTACTTTTAAGTAAAACACATGATAAGAAACAAGTGAAATGACATTTGATCTACTTAGAATATAATTTAAAATATGAGAGAATATAAGTGAAAAAGTAAATAAAAACTCATTGTATACATAAAATAATGGACCAAAACATTATTTAAATATCAGTATGAATATATCAGACATTTCATACAATAACTGCAAATCAGAACAGACACACAAGGGATTGGCTAAAGAAATGAAGTACTGTATTAAACCTATCTTTCAGAAAAAAGTTATAATCACATTTTAATATCTTCACTTAAGTATAAATGTAAAATATAAAAGTAATAACCAATAAGCACACATATTAACTGAAGGTCTCAACAAAGTTCTTTTTAGACTATTTGACATGTTAAATAACTAGTTGTATAATGTATCAAATGTATTAATTTTGTATTAACTTATTTATAATTAAAATGAAGATGCAGATGAATTGCTAATTGGCATTTCTTAGTACTCTCCTGTTGATCTCTTCAGCTTCTGACTTCCAAAATACCATGCATTCTCTATCAGTATTTTCTCAACTACAAGCAATATACAAGTCTCCTTTTAAAAGAAAACGTCTTACCAGACTTAACCTGATATTGACTTAGATTGCACAATGATGTTTCTATGCAAATACAGAATCTAGTATACACACATCATGCATATGTAATGCAATTATAAAAACCAAAACACATTTGTAAATTAAATAATATAATTACTATAATATCAAGACATTTCAAATTAATATTAATTTAGCAGGTAGTTTTGTTGTAGCTAAATTCTGCGAATATTAAGTAGTACTAAGTGGCAGATCCTTCTAGACCGCCTCATCCACTCTACCATGAACTGTGTGACAACTCAATTCACCTACTACATTTTTAAAATGAAATCTTTGTTACATGTATTATTTGGCCTTATATGGAGGGGACAAATGACTTACACATGAAATTCTGTCTCTGTCCTTTTTTATTGCCATAACTGTATGAATTTGGTTTGTTTTGAGCATATGTTTTGATAAGCTGATACTGGAGAAAGAAGAATACAGGAGAAAAGGAATAAAGGTGAAAAACATAAAAGATGCATCTAGATAAAATGAGGAAGCTTAGTCAAGAATTTTCTGACCACCTATTCCTGTTATTCCAAGTAAATTAGAAATGACATATGAATAGAGATTTTTCTAATGTACATGGACACAAAAATTTTAAAATAGCACTCATTCTTGTCCAAAAAACAAATGTTGCATTTTCATTTCTTTATGAATTTTAAATTTAACATTAATCTGGTACTAGAAACTGTGTGAGCCAAACAATAGCTATCAAGTGAGTAAAAATACATGCAATTGCTCTTGCCAGATACACATTTGTGATTTATATTTTAGTATGTTTAAAGTTTAGATTTAGATTTAGATTGATTTGATCCTATATTATGTCATTTGATATTACATTTGCAAAGTCCAACACATTCTCACAATTGCATTTTCATGTACAATTTCTTCTAGTTTGCTTTCTTATTTTAATAGTCTTTAAGTTTAAAATTTATTTTTAAGCAAATGGATTTAATAGTTTATTCATTAGCAAGTGTGATACTGTATTAATCCCTGTCACTTTATCATTAAATATAATATTTATAGAATGGATAGAAAAATGACCCTTTTCTCTACATCTCAAATCTTCTTGATATTCTTGTGAATTTAATCTTTATATATATTTTTTTAAAGGTTGATTTATTTCCTTCATGTGTGAGAGAGAAATAGATGGGAGGGGGCATTTTCAGCAAGATCTCCATGCTATGATTATTCCCCCAGCCCTGCAAACAGCCAGGATCACTGGCAGGCACACCTCTGGGCACACCCTGCTTGTTCAGGGGGAGCTGGGACGAAAACCTGTAGCCTTTCCATCTAGCCTCCATGTCACCACAGTGAGGTCTGTAAATGTTCATTTAAAAAAAAATTTAATTTGTCATTTAAAACATATAGAAATAGACAAAGAATAATATCACAGAAACAGTTGAACTAATGCCAATAGTTAACCAAATGTAAACAAATCTACTATAATTCTTTCAAGTTTTCAGAAATAAAATATCAGAACTATGTAACAAATTTCTCTCTCTTTGAATCTTGCTATTCTTTTCACCCCCAAGGGATTCTTATTTTTATTATTATATTTTAAGTTTTTGGCCGTAGGGCATGGGCACTTGCCAGAGAGGAAAGACACAAAGAGAAGTGAGAGGGAAAGTGAGAAATCACACCCCCCTTAGGGGGATAACCATGAGCAATCCTTACTCTTCCACTGGGCATGTGCACACACAAACAGAAACACACGCATACACACAGTGTGATTTTCAAACCTCCAGGTCCAGTACTCGAACTGCGGCCAGCCATATGGGAGTCTAGTGCCTTAATCAGTATACCAACTGCTGACCCCAGGATCTCTATTTTAAGATACAATTATAAAAAAAATAGCAAGAGGGAGGCAAAAAGAGAGTGAGAGATAGGTATTTTCAGCATTTAACAGGACCACACCACGTTGAGATCTTCCTGGCCCAGCCTCCTAGTTCCCTAGGATCACAGGCACACAGCACTGCATTTGGTGTGTTATGTTAGTCCAGGATATCAAACCAGGTCTTTCATGTGGCTCCTGCATCATGCAGTGGTGCCCTACCATCTGTACCACCACAGCTGGACCTAAGGTACATTTTTATTCAACCAATAGTTAGTAAATAGTTATTGTGTGCCAGGCAGTCACAGATGATGGACATGGCATTTTAAAAGTAGCTAAAATCTCCTACTTTCATGGAGTTAACATTCTAGTTGGGAAAAAAAAAAGATAGGAAACAAAATAAATAAGTGAAGTACATAGTGTGATAAAGATGAAAAGTCTTATGGAGAAAAACACATTAGGGACAGACATCAAAAGTGGTAAAGACATAAATGAAAAAAAAATCTCTGAATAAAGACCTTATGAAGACAAAGTAGTAACTCTTGCATATCTTTAAAAGAAGTGGTTGATGTAGAAGGAAAATAATTACAAAGGCCCTGAGAGGAAGTTTGCCTCTGGCATGTTGGAGTAATAGCAAGGAGGATTCTGCAGCAGAAATTAAGTAAGCATAGCCTGACAGTAAAACAGCATAGAGGTAAAACATGATGTTCTGTGAGGCTCTGTGGGGCTGATCCCATGGGAAGGTTCTGAACTTTCTTCCAGGGACCTTCCTAAAAATACTGGGCACATGCATGCCCATGATCCAGGGCTGGCTGGAATTGGGGCTGGACCTATTTGCAGTGCTACCTCTGTCTCTTTCTCTCTGACTCTTTCACTCATGGAAGAAGTATATGGGGAAAAAAAGAAAGAAAGTAGGCAAGGGGAGAATACTGACTACTGGGAGGTGAGGTAAGAAGAATCTTACAGACTATGGCTTTTGCTCTGAGTGAAATGGAAAGTTGCTGGAGGATTTTGAACAGAAAAGCAATGCAATCGGTCTTATAGTAACATAAGTTCTCTCTTGGCTATGTCAAGAACTGACTTGGGGATGGGGGCAATGCAGTCACAGAAGTTTAGTTGAGGTTATTGAGTAGTCTAGGAAGGAGAGGAGGTGGCTTAGACAAGGACAGTAGCAATGAAGCTAGTAAGAAGTTTATAGACTTTAGATCTATTGCAGATTGCATAGGAAACATTTAGTTCCTTTAACTGGTGGTCATTCTTGCCTCTTGTTCTGGATCTTTTTTTTTTTTTTTCCTTTTAGAATTTTTGCTAAAGGGCATGTGTGCTCACTGAGACACACAGAGAGAAAGTGAGCAAAAAATACCCAGTAGGGATGGCCATGCTACAATTCCTTACTCCTCCATTTTCTTCTTGGGGTTTTGGGCATGCACCCACACACACTCATTCTGAGTTTCAAGCCACTAGGTCTGGGATTCAAACCACAGTCCATCATGTGGGAGTCCAGTGTCTTAACCACTATGCCACCTGCTGGCCCCTTGTTTTTCATCTTAAAAGAAATTCTTCTAACATAAGATTATTAAGAGGAGGCATTTTGGTATATACATGATGCTATATTAATCACATTAGGGTTATTATTTTTTATTTCTGGTTTGCTAAGAGGTCTTATTTTATCTGGTAAAATCACGGTGTATTTCCAAAATAATATAGTGTATTATCACAATTTTTCAACATGTAACAATCATGTATGTGATTACTGTGATGAGCACTAGTTGATTATTGCATATATTATATAGGTTATATTCATTTATATATGGGTATGATTATGTGAAACACAGATACCTTAATCTGGTTACAAATATTTTATTTCAGATTGCCGATACGTTCGTATGTGACACTGACCTATGTTTTC